CAAAATAAAACCAATTTGAGCTGCCAAATTCCCACGTGTTTGAAACAACGGCATTTGTAGTGGCTTGCCTATAAAATAGATACGAGTCATAGATACGAATTGTTTTCGAACTGTAGATACAAATAAGAATAGTTATGCAATGGGATCTGCAACGCATATGATCAGAATCTGCAAGAATTTGTACCATTTTCGGTAAGTAGGTACGCAGTTTCGTCGTCATGGCGTATTGCAGAGTGATGCTACGCTACGGCTTTTCGTGCTAAGCATAGACGCACAGTGTATATCAATAGACGCTTAGACGCATAGACGCTTCAGGAAGGTGAGCCAGATGCCAAGGTACACAAGTTGTTTATATGCCGTGCATTGCATACAGTAGGTGTGTCAATCATGATGAAGGATGTAAACAATATTTTTGTGCGAACTGGAACCAATCAAGAAGCAGCCAAACTGAAACTATAAAGTCGCATATTGATGCGATAAGCGGTGTGAATTTGGTGTGAATGTGCGTTTGCGGGCCAGGTGGTACGGAGGTCAAATAATCAATCAATCAATCAATCAATCGTTAGCGCATCCCTGACATTTTTTACACTTTACACTTTACAGGGCTTGCACAGGCACGTTTTGCGTTTAGCAAACAACGAAAAGGACCATCGTCCAGCGGATACGTGGACTGCTCCGCGCTGCTTGGCGCTTGGAGGATTTGGACCCGTGGTACCAGCTTTCCGACGGTATGTGAGCCAAGAGGAAAGCCACCAACTATCAACCAGAGCTACCATTCTCGGGTTTAGCGTACTTCGGTCCCCCCCCCCCCCCGTGAGGTCCACAGCAGTCAGAACTAGCCGGATGATGTATACCCCCCCCCCCCCCCGTGAGGTCCACAGTAGCCCGAAGCCGGGTGATGTATCGGATTGGTCAGAATAGACATCTGTTACAAAGTAAAGCATGGCAGTGGTAGCTTTCGGCAAGTGTTAATTCACTTTGCACTAGTGCGGGACTGGCGCATCTGCTTCGGACAATGAAGCTTCTAGCCGTGATTCGTTACACTCACCAGTCGGCAGTCACCCTGTAAAATTTCGTCCCGATCGTCTCCTTTTACAGCGCCATTTCTGACTTTCTTCTCAGTCCTTCATGTCATCTTTGCCGACCTCACAGACCTTATTGTGTGATCCGCTCAGATGCACTCCCATGAGTCTCGGTCGTCACTGACATCGATTTGATACATTCCTTCCTTTCGGTGCCGATCTGTCCGACTGTTTCTTAGACTATTTGCTCTCTAACCCTACTGCTCTCTCATGCCCTCCGGCCGAGATTCGAACACCCTCCAATGACCGTTTCACTAACCGTCTAGTCAATCCCTCGTATTTACAATTTCTCGTCGAAAATTCCACGACCCACTGAAACCCTTGCTATCGGCCCCTCCGACCGGTTCCCTCGTGTCTCTCCATCGTCCTCAATCCTCCAACGGACAGCAGTCCCACGCACAAGGGGGAAAAGCTCAAATTATTGAGCGCTCAAAATATTGAGCGTGTGACGTCAGAGGCTCCCATAGGCGTAATGCTGAGGGCTCAAAAAATTGAGCCGTTTCAGGAGCACGTTTTGCAAAAGCAACTCGCAACACCTAGGGAGAAATGGCAACACCCTAGGAGAATCACTAATGATGCAAAACAGATTAGGCTTTCATATTTTTCACTGCTCAAGCTTCAATGATTGGGGGAACACCAATTTCTAGGTCGAAATCTTACGGCATACCAGGATGACTTAAAAACAGGCCAATATTTGTGTCGAAATAAAAGTTATTTTTTGTCCATTCACGTTTTTTACTAGGGTTCTGTTGGAAAGAGCATTTTTCATACTACCCAAAATGATTGCGATTCAATTTCACATTACCCATATCGGAGAATATTTTTCATTTGGCGGCGCCGTTTGTTTATTTCGTCGCGACGTCTCCGGTCGCGTGGTTGTCGTCGTCCTTGTGTTGAAGGTAAGTTTTTAATCGTTTTAGTTGTACTTAGATGTTAAAAGGTACACTGAAAAGTTTGAATATGCTGTAATTTTAAATTTGGAAACACGTAAACGTCAATCAAATCACGTTTTCCTCGATTTGCGTGCAGATAAGTAACTGTCGACGAAAGTGGCGCCATCCGATATGATGTTTTGAAGGAAGGAGACACAACATATTTACGTGAAAATTTTTGTTTTTTAGTGGTCTAAGTGCTTCAAAGAGGCTGTGAATGTTTTCTTCACACAATTTTTCATTAGTTATGACGAGGTAAAAGGTAGTTTCAGTCTTAACTTTCATATAATTGACATTAAAACATATGATAGTCCACTGCCATCAGTGATTGAGTACCTTGATATTTGGCATTTCTTATTAATTTGAATGTATTCTCTATCCATATGTCCTGATAGTAAGTGACAATACTCTGCCAATATGTTTCCATAGTTTTCACATTCATTTTCCAGTCCTTTACATAACATCACAATTTATAATCAACAAAACTCAACTCCTTCATTACTTCACAACACTGACAGCATGACAGACTGACAGTCAACTATTGTGTGGGTGAATGCTGAAACAGGATAGCCACTTTGCTAACTGGCTCGCTCATATGATCCTTTATATCATTTCCATCTGAAGGATCGGAGTCAACGGAAAAGGAAGGCCACTTTCAAGCCTCAAGGTCTAGGCCGCCAGACGCCAGTCGGCAGTCACCACCAAATTTATAATAGATTAATTCATTATTATACTTTGAGACCCTTAGGTCACTGCATCAGCATCACATTTTCAGTTTCAATATAGTAAAGGTTTTTATTTGTATGATGTGAAATATTTTCCTGAATCAGAATTTAATTATCCCTAGGTACCTGGTAGAGGTTTTGGATTTAATGCTCATTGTTGGTGTGCAGTCAGGATTTTTTGACAGGTCCAGATAGGGAATCCTGAGCAATTTTATAGTAAAGTGGTCTCCTTATAATCACCACACATTTTATCAAAAGCATTTGCAGAATTCATTCAATGAAGAATTTTATCAATGTTCACCCATTTCTTAGACGACCTAGGCTGCATCTTTTTTTAGTTCCTGTTGTATGACATAGTTTCCGTTTTGTTCCACTGCATAAAGAAAAAAATCGTTTGAGATCACCAAACAGCTTTTCTTTTTCTGGCAGGTCTGCACAACCAAGCGGTCGCTGGCGAGGACGTCGGCCGTCCCTGTGGGTAAGGTCATCTGCTCAGCCTTTGTGGAGATCAGCAAGACGTCACCAAGATGAAGACTTCGCTGGAGCAGAAGCCACTGACCCGTGTCCGATCGGGCAGGTCATGCTCGACGGCACGAGCCACAACTCGAACGACTCGGTGACATCAACAACATGGTGGAGCAGGTGAATGAGTTTGGCGACGTGTTGTGCGACTGCAAGAAGGGTTGTCTGCGTGTTCTGGCCGGCGGAGCGGCGACGCTGCGCAGTCTGTGCTGGCGGTGAGCAGCTGGCCGTGGTGACCGCGCGCGCCCACATGCGCCGACAACCTGTGCGGCTTCGACGGCCCGGGACAGCCCGATGCCGCCCACTATGCGACGCCGACCGCGCACTGTCTGCACGGCCACATGGAGGTGTGCCCGCGCCTTTTGCCCGCACGCCGCTACCTCGCAGCTGGTCTGCAACCACGCCGTCGCCGCCTGTAGCCCGATAACAAAACGGCTGTCTGATAATGCCGCTTGTTCTTTGTGATGTTGCTACTGTGATCGTTGCTACTGCTGGTCTGAGACTCGATGTTTCCATTCGTCCTTTACATGTTAAGGATTTGATAATGATAAGCTTAGTCCGAGCTTAGGTTGTTTATATCATTTGTTATATGGCATATTTTGGATCAAAGCAGTACGACACTGCCTCCTGCTTTTGTGATGTATGCTGGCAAGACGCAGGTTCCGGTCGCAGGTCACCCGGACCCGGTTCCAATGTGGTTGGGCTGGCATGCGATAATGTGATGTTGTTTTGCTCGTCTCTGTGTTCCACACTTGATGTTTGTGAATCTAACCCACATTGTATACTGTATAGTATTTTTGTTTGTTTGCGGCCGATGGCCTTGTAAGTTGTAACCGTGGCAATACAGTTTTTCCTGCTATAATTCTCCAATATTCAAGCGTGGGTGGATATCTTTCTGTATTCACGTATTCCCTTCTCCCAGTACAGTCAGAGAATATCAATTACAGTATTCATACGGATTATTCAAGCCTTGTATAATTATTTGAGGTGTGCCGAATCCGAAAGACCGATAAAACTACTAGCGGAAATGTGACATGATGCCATGGGTTTGTGAAAAGTTTAGGTACCACGTAGCATTCAACTTCCTGCATTTCTGTTTCAACTCAGTTTAACGTATTTCAACGAACATAACATCAAAAATGGCAGCCAGTACCGGCTTCACCTGTCACGGAGAACGCTCAAAAAATTGAGTGTAGATGCTGGCCGGCACTCAATTTTTTGAGCGCCAGCTGACTGCCGTCTGTCGTGGCGCTCAATTTATTGAGTATCGCGGTCCCGAACGACAAGTGGCGCTCAAAAAGTTGAGCGTCTTTAGGGCATTTTCTTTCCAAAAACACCGATATAAATTATCACGGCGAGTGTTCGAGAAGAAACCTTGTTGCTCTCTCTTGCCATTGATACCTTATTTGGATACGATATTTGCCGTAGTGTGACGCTAAAGGCATTGTAAAATACCATCGTTTCGCCTATTCCTTCATAATGGGGCCCGCTCAATTTTTTGAGCGCTCAATTTTTTGAGCTTTTCCCCCTTGTGCGTGGGACTGACAGCGGTCCTTTGACAGCGGTCCTTTCATCCCCTCCCGGCCGCTCCGCGCCGGCCCCTCATCCCCTTCCGGCCGGCCTCCATGAGGCTGACGTCATCCCCCCCCATTCACGTGCGTACCAAAACACACACACACGGGGCCGGCCGGCGCGGCCGACCGGCCGGAAAATGTGTGCCGGCGAGGCCCCTGTCCGTCGGCTAAGACACGTGGTGGCGGCCGGCCGGCTGTGGCGTCATAGGCCGCGTCAGCCGCGTCCCCGGCCGGCGGAATGTTGTGCGCGCCGCGCCGCTCGGCGCCGGCGCCAGTCTAGCGAGAGCTGCCGACGGGTGAGGGCCGCCGCCGGCCGACGTACAGTGTGGAGCGCCGCGCCGCCGCCGACCGGCCAGACGCGCTGCGGTGTATGCGGCCGCCGTTCGGAGCAGTGACTGAAGTGGAGAGTTCCTGTGAGACAGCGTCCAGTGACAGAACCGGACCGACTACACCGCGGAGACCGGCCCCGGAGGAGCCGCGTCGTCCGGCGCCTGAGAGCGTCCAGAGTGTGTGTGTGCAGTGCTGCCCGGTGTGGGCGATGACGCCCTGAGATGGGCGATGACGTGCTAGAGGCGGCGGCCGGGGCGCGGCTGGCGCCGTGCGCGCCGCCAAGCCCCGGCGGGGAGGCCCGCTGCGGCGGCTGGTGTCGACTGGGCCAGGCGTCGCCCTGCTGCAGTCACACGGTGTCGGAGGCGACGGCCGCGGTCGGCCGCGGCGCCAGAGCCGCCCAGGTGCCCGGCGGCGATGGCCGGCCGACCTCCTCCGTGACGCTCGGACGGGCGCCGCGCGCCCTCCGGCTGCCGCTCTGGGGCCTCCTGGTGTTGATGTGCGTAGGTGTGTGTGGTGCCGCGGCGGGCGGGGACCTCTTTGACTCTGGCCAAATGGAGCTCGAGCGGCATCCACACGTGGGAATTCGACACCGACGCAGCGTGAACAACATGACAGGTGAGTCCGCCTGGGGTGACACCGCTGTCATGGGGCTGACACCACTGCCAGTGCGCTGACGCCGCCGCCAGTGCTCGCGGCGAGCCTGTGGCGGCGATGGAGGCCGGCGGCCGGGGGTCGATACCGGCTCCTGCGTAGGCCTGTTCTCAAGGTCGGCCGTGTTGTGGTGTGCGTCGGCACGGAAGGCGGCCGGACCTGTGCGGCCGTGAGACCACCGTTTAATGTTGTGGGACGCTTCGTGTTTTTCGACATTATGTGGCGGACTTCCTGCTCAAGTACCTAAGGCGTAGGTTCTTAATTGTTATTCCTTTTCGGCTGCAAGGGACGCGACAGTGATTGCTGTTTTGGCAGGGTCTGTGTTTACATATGTGCCTTTTTCGTTCATCTTGTTTATTTGAAGTTCTACCTCAATATTTTCTCAAATGCTGGCCTCCATCGAAGACGATCATACTTTGGATTATAGCCCCTTCCATTTGTGCGCTTTGACATGACAGGGAAATAATCTTCCTGTGATATTTGATTGAGCCGCCTCTTCACAGAGAATGTGACGAAGATGACTAGGGCTTGAGGCTCAGATCTTTTCGGTACAGTCCACATAAATGACCAATGGTCGTCTTTACTGGCATCCTTGTTGCTGTCAGCCCGATCGAACGATCACAACCAGGCGCAAAATCAGCCCTGCTGTCGGCTTTCGTTCTGGCGGGCTGAATAGCTAAGATATTTCATCCCTGCTCCACTTTCCTAATATAAAGACCTTGTCCGCCATGTTAGGTCGAATTAGCGCCGAGTGCCGACATAGGTGCAATGCTACTGGTTTGATTCGTGTGCCTACCACGCAGTGAGACGAGGGCTGTACCCATCTTCCTCGACCATTTTTAGTCCCTTTCAGCTGGAATCTATGACCATATCTGGGTGGCTTGATGCAGGTTTTCTCCAGACGTTTTTGGAGACGTTTTTCTTTGACCGCCTGTCTGTCTTACTGTCTGTGACTCTGTACCTATGTCTTTCTGTCTGCCAGCATTACCATTCTGACATAAATGTAGAGTAAATATTACCCGAGGGGCAGCTATGTCACTGTCTATCAACGCGTGGACATCAGTACATTAGGCCCTAAGCACCGGCATCAGTCCATGTCAGTGGCTTTCGCAACTGAGCATGTCACATGCTGTGGTAGCTGATGGCTCGAAGATGAACCAACCATTCTAGCTACATCCTTATGGTAGCATGTCATTTGCCCCATTTCCAGCCTTGAAATCATTATTAAATCGTTTCAGTTAATGACTAATGTAGGATCAGACAGCTTATGTTACTAACCATGTTCCCGAATCCTGTGAGCTGTGATCGGATATTTTGTCAGCTGCAGTCGAACTGATGTCCTCTGCGTAGTGCTCACTGCACATCAGCTTATTGATCGTAAACGAATCCGAGTGCTTTCAGTGAAACGCTCTGCTCACGCAACATACCATGACGCTGTGCATTTTAGCCGATACGCGCTGGATGGTTCGGCAAAGCGTCCCTGCCTGGCTCAGTTTACTGTCAGCGTCTCGGCTTCCCATGCTCTCTCAGTCTGCTAAAAGGAGAGCTCAGAAAACTCTTCATGACCACCGAGTGTGAAGACCGACAGCCAAAGTCTCTTTCAGTACAGCCAAAGTCTCTTTCAGTCTCCTAAAAGGAGAGCTCAGGAGACTGTCCTGATAACCAAGCGTGAAAGGAGGGCTTGTCCTGCCTCTCAGTCTCCTAAGGAGAGCTCAGGAGGCTGCCTTGACGACCAACGAGCTTGGTAGGATAGCTTGCCATGTCTCTTAGCCTCCTAAGATGCGTTCGGTTCATCTCTCAGCCTCGTAAAGAGAGCTCAGGAGACTAGGCGGTCACCAAGCGTGTCAAGTTCGGGACCTGCTGAGTAGTGGTTGTGCGGGCCGATTCCTGGACTGTGGGCAGGGCCGCAGGCAGCCAGCCACTTCCGACCGCGGGACCGAGACCGGGGCCGACGTCTTTGCAGTCGCTCCCCTGTTGCTGCCGCCCTTGGGCCAGCGGAGAACGACAGCTCACAGGCTGCTGAGGCAGCGAGGCAGCTCTCGGATCAGCCGAGGAATATGACCCAGGTCGGTCGTCACGGTAGACCGGTGCAGGCTGGAATCGCTGTCCGATTGGGGAGAGAAGTGGCGTCGGCTCCGCCCTCTCCTTGTCCCTGAGCTCGGTTGACTTCGGCTGGGCTTTGAGCTTCTTCACTGATACTCGCTGAAGCTTCTTGTGTCGTCGCTCAACTTTATTTCAGTCAGCGACGGCTCGTCGATGGGGCATTGAAGCGGAAACGAATTTAGTCCGCGCTCAGCGTAGTCTGCAGACGCTGCACAAAAAGTGACGTAAAGGATTATTGAGTGGGGCGCATGCAGCCTTAGTTTTTCGTAGAGTTTGATCTTTTTTTCTGCAAATTTGGGCGAATTTGGGGTGATTATTTTCTATTGGCTCAGCTATGGATGTCGCTTGCGGACCCTGATGTTTGTGCATTCCTGGCGCTCTGATCAGAGCCGAACGCGACATCTCCACGGTCTGTCAGTGACTCTCCACTCACCGTTGACATACGATGAGCGCCGTGTGCGCTCGCCACATGCGTGCGCTCACCATTGATGTGCGCCGTGTGCCGATGACTCGGGGTCGCTCCTCTGTGTATGGGGTCCAGTCTGAACTCGAGGACGCGGGTGGGCCGACCGACCCTGGAGCCGGCTGGCGGGACGCACGGGCGGCGGCGCGGCCGGCGCAGCCCCCCGTCTGGAGGAGAGTTGGAGGTCGCTCCCCTCCCCTCCCCACCCGGCCGGCGTCCCGGCCCTTCCCCGGGGTGGCCGCCGCGCCGGCCGGACTGGGGCACGCCGGGCCCGCCTGCAGTAGGTCGCCTCTGATACCGTCCCAGGAGTGAGCGAGGTGAATGGGTCAGCTGCCCCACCGCCTCGCCGGCTCACGGGTAGTTCCTCCGCTGAAGGAGGCCTCGGATAAGCTATCTGGCCGTGCACGAGTCAGTCGACCGGCAAACGACTGCACCAATAAGATAGGCTACATAAGGTTATCTTTAGGTTGGTGGCAGTGGGCAAAAGTCCGTTATGATTTTGAACGGCTAGCAAGCGGCAGCGCTAGTGTCCATTCCATTCTCGTTAGCTTTTTGAGTGGGAATTTTATCAGGTTGCCACTTGCCACTGCCAAGATAAGAGATTAGCCTACATGCTGACCGGCTTCAGGCATGGTGTCATGCTGTGAGCCTGCTGGATCTGTGGCACTCCGCCATGGAAGCTGACCTGAGTTTGAATACCTACAGCGTGTATAACAATGTTAGAAGCTGAGGCTTCCGCGCTGTGCGTTCACCAAACACGGGTTTGTATGGCTGCTTCTTTGGTATCTATTCTTCCCCTTATTTACCGTTGCGCTTTATTCGAGTAACGCTGACTCATTCGCCAAAGGCAAAAATGATTCCCACACAGATTCCGGCACTTGTTTTGTTATACCAGTATCGTGCCATTTTCTGGAATCGGTTCGTGCACGTTTATTATTTTTTGTGGAAATTGCATGTTGCTAGTGAAAATATGTACCGCACTATCGCAGCAACAGTAAGTTTTGTTGGTTATTTCTGTGATGAAAGAACACGGCAGTGTGTACTGCTATTGATTTGTAACATTTGAAATAATTAATGTTACAAAAGTGTGCGACGGAAACGGGGGTTTCATGCTCCCCTTGGATTGTTTATCCTCTACAGCCGGTTATAGGACCGGCCTTCACACCAATGTACTGCGTCTCCTCTCTCTCTCTCTCTCTCTCTCTCTCTCTCTCTCTCTCTCTCTCTCTCTCTCTCTCTCTCTCTCTCTCTCTCTCTCTCTCTTATTCTCTCTCTCTCTCTCTCTCTCTCTCTCTCTCTCTCTCTCTCTCTCTCTCTCTCTCTCTCTCTCTCTCTCTCTCTCTCTCTCTCTCTCTTATTCTCTCTCTCTCTCTCTCTCTCTCTCTCTCTCTCTCTCTCTCTCTCTCTCTCTCCCTCCCTCTCACTCTCTCTCTCTCTCCCTCTCTCCCCCCTCTCTCTCTCTCTCTCTCCCTCCATCTCCTCTCTCTCTCCCTCCTTCTCCTCTCTCTCTCTCTCTCTCTCTCTCTCTCTCTCTCTCTCTCTCTCTCTCTCTCTCTCTCTCTCTCTCTCTCTCTCTCGTCCGATGCGCACTATTTCCTTTCACCGCTGCGCACTTGCTGAGGTGAGGGACGGACAGATTCTCTCCTAACAGGTTACGCTGCCCTCCGGGGAAGGCCCCTGGCGTTCCTGCTGACGTCATCAGTTCCATGGGGCCACTCTGACGTCACAAGCGACCTAGCGGGCAGGTGGCCTGTGCAGAGAGGCCCAGCGGTCTCATGCCTGGTTGGCTACCGGCGCGCTTGTCGAAGTTCGCTGAGACGGTGCGGAGGTGCTCTGCCGTAGGAAACAGGGCCCTCCAAGGACCGATGTGACTCCGGACCCACGGCCACCCCGTCTAGGTGTGGTGGCGTTTGTCCACTGCTAGCGCCGCATCATTGGGGTAATACGCTGCGCCGGCGCCGGCCACCTCTGGGAATTCGGGTACGCTATGCTAAGCAGTGTGTCGGTACGCCCTGTTGTGTGATGCATCTCCGGTGACGTCAGCAGCGTTCGGCGCGCCGGGTTCATGGAGTCAGCGGTGACCACGTGCTCCCAAACGGTCCGGCCCGGCCCGGCTGGCCCAGTTCCCGGCGCCGCGCGCGCGCCGCGGACGGCGGCGTGGTCCCGGCCTTCCAGCCCGGCCCGTCTCGATAGCGGCACGACCGTACGGCACGCTGCAGCTGCCGCGGCGCATTCGGGAGCTGCCGGACAGCCGGCGGCGCGGCCCCCCTCGGCCGGAGGGGCGGCGGAGCCGGGCCGAGCGCCAGCTGTGCGTCTCGTCCGCGGCGTGCGTGCCGCGTGCGTGGCGGGCGCGGGGGCGGGGCGCGCGCGGCCGCGTTGCGTCAGCCCGGGCGCGGTG